CTCTAATCAGTGCATTTCTAATGAGAAATAAGACAAACTGCAAGGTATGCGAATTGAGCTTGCCAAACTCATTTTCTCCAATTTCTGTTTTGCCATCCCCACTTCAGTGAAATGCATGCACAAAGCCATAACAGTTATCGAGACTGGCCATGCGTACCCTCTCATACTGACATCGTACATTCATAGGGTTGATAATAAATACTGTACAAGTAAGAAACAATATCAGACCAGGCCCATTTGCAGCTAGAATCAATGGGCGTGGAACAGGTGGTACGTTGAACAGCCGCTTTCTTTTCAAAACATTTTCGCGCGAGCAATCGATTAAACTAAGCGGGGTATACCTGAATTATTGTCCCCTGGACAGCTGAATAAGGACGATAGCTATAGCGCGAGAACAGAACGACGACAAAGGGACAAGAGGGAGAGAAGCGCTCGTCACCTTGTCCCTTAGTTGTTGTGTTCTCGCGCTATAACAATCGTCACGTAATACCAACTAGCCGTAACCACCACATTTCTAAGCTAAATAGAGTTCGAAAATTCATATTACTCAAGTCATCTTGGCAGACGGCGAAGTGTGTGACTGTGCTTTACTTTTGGGCACAGCGTTTATTCAAAATTTTAGGTAAACGTACCCAAAGCTAGGCTTCCCGAATGCTTGCTAACTGTAACATACTGTAGTACGTGCGTCCACAAGATAGGAAGTGTTCACTGGCTCTTTGCCACACCACATCACTAACTATGCTGACATTAAATTCTAACAGCTCTTTATTATCAGGTGTGTCACGCACTTCATCAAATGATAACAGCTAAATATCGTCTTTCGATGTTTTACAAACGGTGTAATGAAGAATTGGCCTTTGACTCCTACTTTTGTGAGGAACAAAGTGAAAAACGTGCGTTAAAACTTCTTTCTCGGTCTTCTTTGTCTACGAAAGGCCTGAAAATTGTGAACAATGAACGGGTATGTACTTAAGCCAAATTTGATCCCGAAAATTGAGAACGTAACGCACAGGTTTCCTTAATAATATTGTGGTGCAATAAGATTATCTAGAATAGCGCAAAGTAATACTTTTAGCTGTGCTAATAACAGCTTAAGATGCAGCCGTTGAAATGTCATACACTTGTTATAAATACTGTCTACACTATAAAAGCTCCATAATACATTTGGTAACCGTACGAGGTACTCAAAATAAGAAATAGCACAGAAACAACTGTATTTAACGAAACTTCTTCAACAGATGTGTCCACCAAAAATTTTCAGACAAAACACCAAAAAATCTCAGAAACAATTATAATACCTGTGTTCTTCCCACCTAATGTTGCACATAGCCCAGACTAACTTAGCTAATGATGTATTTACAATATTTGTATTCGTATTTACATACGAACAGCATATCTTTACTAAAAAAAATATTCTTGTTGGCCACAAGCAGTACCCTTCGTTTCAAAACGTTGCATCATTATTACAACAACATTTATGCAGGTGATGTGTGCCACAACATACCTACAAAAGTGAACTCTGTAGACAATTTGTCCATAGTGAAAAAACAATACGAAACATTTAAGGAGATTTACAGGGCATAAAGAAAACGGGAACATAAAAAAGGGCATATATCCACCAAAATATTAACTATCTACTTTTGCCACGAGCGCAAAATCCTGCAGCATAAAACCACGGCATCCGATTTAACAAATTTTTTTGATGTCAAGAAAGATATCACTTTAAAATGGCAAATTGTTAATCTTCTTTTATACACCATAATCGGAATTCGGGATGAGAAAAATTCACTTCGAACTCCAAAAAAGTGCTACACATAGCAAAAACACTGCTATTTAAAACACTCAGCTATGAAGTGACAGCCTTTGAATAATCTAGCTTCCAGTAATACCAAACTATGAACGGACGCTGAAGACCTTTCATCTGCGTATTAGAAACGGCCTAATTAACGATCAATTCAGTTCTAATTTGTTGTTGTTTTCATTAGGTTACCTTTTGAATATTTGCCCGCATTTGTTTACCGGTATGCATGAAATTCATTCCCAAAATTTTGAAAGTATGGATGAATATGGACCTCCAGATAGAGCGAGACTCTGAAATGTTGACATATAAAGCTTACCGAAAAACAAACTCCAACATTTATCAAAAAGAGATTGCACCAACCTATCGTCACAAGGAGGTGGGAATATGTTGTGCAGCAGGAGATACATCTGCCGAAAAAATGCCCATGTGCAGAAGTTACTCATTGTTAAGCACACGAATACTTACAACAAATATGGTACATGTAATACACACTAGTGCATTCTGTACAGAAACAAAACGCAGTGAGCACTGGTCTCAATCATGCAAGTCAAAAGTCAGCAGAACTTGTCACACACAAAAAAATGAAGTTAACAAAGATTTGTGCGCTCATCAGACTTGTGTGAACGTGCGTAAAAGAAAATTATAATAGGATATCCAACCTCAACATATCACTCATGCATACTGCATATTTTTTCGAATTAAATTAAATATTTTACATGTCAAACCATGTCTAAAATCTGAGCTTTTGGTGATCAGAGCTCATGGCGTCGTAATTGAGCACATTCTTCAATAAGGATAATAAACTAAAAAAGAAGGCAACTATTCCAAACTGCAAAGACTAAACCTGATGTTAATACATATGGTATTATCTCCTAACTGAGGCCCACGCATCTGACATAAGAAAACTGTTTTAGAAACTAGTCTCGCATCCAAGAAGCAGTAGCTAGAAAGTTTCACTTCTACGTGACACAATTCACATGAAGAACATTTTCTTAGTCAGAGATTCAGTTTGCTTTACGGCGCTCTGTAGGCAATGCCATTCGAAGAAATTTTAGAACTGCAAGGCTGGAAACTTCTGACTACCCATCTCACACGCCACCACCTTTGACTCAAAAGTTTATGCCGCATCGCTTAGCACTCTTGTCATAGAACTCATGCTATAACTCTCGTTTACGAAAGAACACTCACAAAGTTCAGCAGTTCTCGGCAATAGAAGCAATTCGACAGGTTTTCGGCCTGAATAAATATTTATACAGCACCACACACTATTTGTTCCTCGTTTGGCTCACCATAAACAGAAATTGATGACGTGTGAAAGCAAGCCCGAAGCCTGCTACACCCTCAACCTTTGGTACCAATCCCTTTGTACTCTGCCGGAAAGGTGATCCCTCGGGGTGCCCCGTACCCTATGGTAAAGCAGTAAAACCTGCCCCACAGAGCTTCTATACCACTTCATTGTAAAGCAGATCTGGAAAGTGATCTATCGCTAAGGGTACACATGTGGGAACAAAACGCAGTAGCTGTACACACAAACTCATGACGTCAGGGTAATGTGCGTTGAACAGACATGATTGCGTAATGCAAGCATCGAAAAATGACACAAGTGCTATGCCTATACCTACACCCGACTCTCCAAAATCCGCCCTCAAGGACGTTCTCTTTGTGAATGGTGGGGTTTCTTCAGTTAAATGGTGCCACATTTACCCGTTTGCTGACTTCAATGTTCAGTGGGTCTGGAACAAGGTGATAATGTGAACAGAGTGAGTGCAAATAAGATATGTGGAAGCACTAACAACATACACAAACATACACTTCATCTGCAAAGTTGTAAGCACACAGTTGCAACTTGTGGATGACAAGATATCAAAAGAGACGTAGCTGGCAGACTCTTGTGAAATACTCAATTACGTATTTGTTCGAAAAGCCGGTCACAGTTCAATAAACTCTGATCTTTCTACCCAAGTGATGATTGATATTCATATCAGTATGGCATACCAGCTAATGCAATTCCGAGACGTTCGGCGAAGTGAAGCCGCTGTATTATGGTCTGCTCAAATGTAAGCCGCAATTACTGAGTACAGAAAACAGGTGACAACTTTTTTTTATAGCTAAAATGAAACACTCCGGGTGTTGCCGCAGGTAACGATCAGATGCTGAAGGCACGTCATGGTGCAACACATATTCATGGTCTAAGAATTAGTGTTCACGTATGCGTTATAATTTTACAACAGTTTTTGCACTTATGTCTTAAAAGTCATCTGCGAAAAAACGTGTCATAAATTATTCCATAGTTCCAAACTATATGCTTACACAAACAAAAATCTGCGCTTCATTTCCCCCTGAACAACTTGTGGCACATTTCCGCAGAAAGAAAAAACATGCTTACGCAAATATAATTCATTCTAAAACACATTTCTGGACAAAGAAACCAGAAAAAAGAGATTGCACACTCCGGAAAAAGCATCTATAACTGCACACAAAACCGTGACGTTTCTAGGAACAGAAGAACGAGAGGAGAGGAAAACAAGACAAAAATGGAGGCAAAAATAAAACGTGAACAAATCATGACACGTCACTCACTCTCTTCCACAACAGTCTGGTGTGGCCTTTGCACAAAATAATTGAAGCTCATCGTTGCGCTATGGGGGATATTTGCATGATGCCTTTAGCTTTCAAGAGCACCGCAACCCCGTAATCCCATTATACAAGCATCCCACCGCAAATAGCCGGTTACACGTCAGTCAGTAGTCCCAATAGAAATTCCTGCAAACACACAAGACTTTCACATGTTCTCTACCCACACCCGTCCACTCTATCCTGTCGGCGTAAAAATGTCACCAGCAACCAGCTGTTTGCGCGAACTACACGTACTGAGACAGTTCTCCAATACCTCAAAAAAAAAGGCGCCAGTGATTACTGGCATACGTTGTCGTTCCTGTACAAGTACCACTGACACGAGTGCCCTCTGGAGTAGACAGACGATGGCGTGCTGAGACGACGAACAGACGCGGACTGTTAAGACACCTGCAAAACACTGGTAATTTGTTCCGTCTTCGATTCTCTCCCTTCGTGGCTCTCTTTGAACCAACGTAGCCAGCGAGGTGTGGATCAATCACCGGCGTTTCGAAGAAACATATTCACCAAGTAGCTGGCACAACCTCTGCCTACTGGACACGACACAACACGGTCTCGGCTGAGTTCTCACACAGAGAGGCGCTGTTAATACGCTCGCTTGAGTTCAATCCCGTATAGTTTATCTTTGGCGTCAACGTGATCCTGGCTGTGCGCACTTCGGCGGCTCGAGGGGGTGACCAGACGAGAAAAGGGAGAAAAAAATCAATTAAATAAACAGGGGCAGCGCGAAACGTGTCACCTCCTCGGCCCATTACCACTAGCTGTAGTAGTAGTTGTTCATAGACCGCGACATGGGAGCCCGAGGATGCGTGTCGCTGTCCTGGCGACGCATCCCGGACCTGTTGGCGTACCGCACCACTTCGATGGTGTGGGCGTGACGGCCCCCGGTGACGTCGAACTGGTCTCCACCCCCGCCGCCATCAGAATCGTCGAAGGAGCAAGACAATGGTTCCGAACACTTGGCTTTGGCTCGCTGCCTATCCCGGCGTCGCTGCACGTACAGCCGGGCCGAGAGCACCACGAGGAACGCGACCACGCCGCAGCCCACGCTCAGCGTCACGTACAAGATGAATTTCTCTTTGTTCGCTGCAGAGTAGAATTGGTAGGTGTCGACAGTTCGATATTTTTCTTTCTTCTCATTGAAACTGACTCATAACAGACTATTATGACTTGTTTACTCTGCAGAGCTACCATAAGCCACTTTGGTAGCCTAGCCAATACCCTTCAGCCAAACCGTAAATCAGGCCTGATTCCCAAACTCCTCAATTACGTTTAACGGTAGTTCTTTTGGTCTATTTATAGCGTACAGCGACAGAAAAAAAATGTGCCTCAGTTTTCATTTCTGAGGAGGACATTCTTAAAATGTAGGGTATTAGAAAATTCATCGTCGAATAATGAAGTGTCAGCAGTTTGAGAAAAATGTCCCCACTAGCGACAAAATAGGTTTCTCCAAGCAAGAAACCAGCGTAGTGACAACTGCGTATACTTGTCATTTAACAAACGTAACGCTCCTGGTTGCGGGAATGACTGAAGTGCTACCACTGACGTAGACACGAAACTGGTCGTAGTTTCGGCAGAATGTTTGGGCTGCGTTATCAAAATGTCATTGTCCCGTGTCTCATGCAAGAATATGGTGTCAAAAATACCCCACATGAGAGGTGAAAGTGAATGATGTAAGAATGAAAAATGGCGGAAAACAATAATTGCCACATAGCTGGGATGACCCTGAAGCCATGTCTTCAAATAATCCCACATGCCAGAAGTAACGCAGCTTACTGCCATAATTTGCGTTTGTTATTATTTCCTGTGAAAATGCTCGCCAGTACTACAACTCGAAAAACGACAATTATTACCATTCAAATTAATTTCGGAGGGCACATGGTCAAGTATACACTTCCTAAAATAACACCACGTAACCCCCTCGTGGCACCGTAGTAAGCTGCTGTGCACGCTGCCACAATGGTTAATAGGATTCGAATAACAACCAAGCTTCATGCACCACATGACCACATGCGGAGAGAACAGTCCCAAGAAGTTGATTCGTATTGCGAATGTGCGTATCTCTGGAATCTTTACATTTATGACTTCCCCATTCATTATGCAACTCATTGTTCAATCTCATCAAACCAGTGGTTAAAGTAAAAGTTGGATAGCTGCACGAATATCCAAAAATATTTTAGTCTGAGCCGACTTATCTTTGCGTTTGCCTAAAGGAAAAAAATGACCATTTGCCGGAAGCATTAGGTATCGACAACAATCGTTCTGCTTGAACACCTCTGTCAAATATGTAGTCAAAAGTTTGACTAAAGTTCGTCTGGTCGGGTATCATGACGAAGATGTAGATGTGGTCACCGACCAAGTCAAGGTGAAAAAACAGAGACGTTCCTTGTTCACACTCTTTGTGAACAAAGAACCCATTTCGGTTTCTAAACGTCTCTGCGTTTTCCACCTTGCTTGGCCATTAACCGCTTCTACATACTCATTTCTTTCAAATGTACATCGGGGCCCTCTAACACACTCCGCTGAAGTAGCGCGCATGCCGGGAGTGGAACGGTGCGACAACGGCGATGACTACGGTGTGAATAGACATCGTGCGTCTGTATAATTGCCGTTTAAATGAAATGGCAGTCTCACAAACACACCTTGTATAAACTTGTATGCAGCGACCCATTCGGTGACGAAGCCCACAGCTCGGTGACCGTTGCCGCCCAACGTGCAGTTTACGTGCTTTTCGTCTTCAGCGGTCCGGTCACTCTGTACGTCGTTCTTCTTGTTCGGCGCCACTGGTAGTGCATTTCGGTCCATTGGCCGCGCTGGGGAATAAGTGTAATAGAAGATGCAGAAGTTTAGTTAATGAAGAAGAGTAAGCAGCTCAGCGCAACTGATCGGCTGTTCTGCATCGTTTGTACGATTAAGGCGACGTTTCTCAACCAAATAATTGTTTGTCAATTAATAGACAGACTTATGTTAATATAGTTTCAGATATTGATTCTCACATATGAACGATTCAAGAGATTGGAGACCTTTAAATTCGCTGTCTCACTGCCGTTCACTCGGACAAACGTTTATAAACACGTCAAGATTTGTTTTCGTTGCAGAATAAATGGTGAATGCTCCAGTATGAGAATGCTACAAGTAAGATAAAATAAAATTGTCATTGAGAAACTGCGAATATTATCTCTTCTAAGTAGCACTCATATTACATTCGTGACGCCGGGAAGAAACGGCTGGTAGGAGTTATATGAACACTACATGTATACATTTTTTATCAACACGCAATAATATGTATCCACCAGACTTGGCATAAAAATACCTTTTTATTGCAATCAGGTGCACTCATCAAGATTATCCTGGGACGGGATGAGCCATTTCCTGTCCGTTTCTGCTATCGCAATAAATAGGTTCTGGTGAATTCAATGTATGCATATATAGTAGCCTATAAGGACTTTTGTAAGTGCTTTCAATACTTTCATTTTCAGGACACTGGAGATTCTTCAACGAATCATAAATCAGTGGCGGCGGTGGTGTTGGTGTTGCCAAGGCGGGGTCAGCCTGGCCTAAAACGCCGGCGATTGTTCCGCCTGAGCATCTCTTAAATTAAAGGGGTCAGTCACCAAATGTCACTGAGTCAAGTGCCTCGCAGGAAAGTCATCAGGATACGTTGCACGCTCTTCCTCGTCGCCGTGGGTCCCTCAGCAAAGATGACATCTTCCAATGCCTCGTGCTTGTGACAGCCTTTCTGCAAGCTGCGTATCATCTCTTTTCTTTCTCTGTCAAACTGTAGGCACCACCAAATGAAATGTTCGTAGTCAGTGTCCCTGCAACACTGTACTGCGGTTTTGTTTGACGGCGCACCTGTTCGTTTCAGCTGCTATTGCGGTTTTTGAATTGTTGCAAAATATATGCCGGCACCTCATAAAAAGCTGCGAGGGGCACTAAAAATGAGAGGATAAACATGTGTCTTTGCTCATAGCGACACAGAACAGCACCCAAGCACACGAACTCTCTCAAGTACTCCACGTGTGGTAGCAAATAAGCTACTACAGCACTGCTTCATCGAAGGGTACAATAATTGCAACCCATGTAAGCAAAAAATGAACAAAACAAACTGAGGAAGTGATACACAAGAAAAAGATGAGACGAACACAATTGAACATTGGTATTTGCGATGCTCAATAACAAGGACATATTCTGAACAACGAACGTTTTAAGCTTACATTTTTCTACTTTACCTCTTTCCATGGAGACCGCATTGCAGATGACCCAAAATAACGTTTTTATACGTACAGATAAGCGATCTCTCGAACGACCTGAATGGACTTGAAAATTGTACGCCGTTTCCTCCCAGTTGGTTAAGAGCAGAGCAAACGGAACTCAAGCGTAAGAACTTCGATATCAGCAATAACTATGAGTAATGTGTGCGGAACCTGAACGCAAAACAATCGCCGTGAGCAAAAAGCAGTACAAGTACGAGCAAGCGCTCTGCTTACCTGGAAGAGGCTTGGCCGATGCGTACGGGTCTCCGGCGGGACTGAAAGTGGACGGCTGGTAGCGGGCCTCCTCCACGTACCCCTCCTCGTCTTCGTCCAGTTTGTCCTTGGCCGAGTCGCTGCCACCGATGTCCAAGTCCTTCAGTATCTCCTTAGGCACTGCATAGTGAATGCCACTACAAGTTCGCACTGCCTGTGAATACGAGACGAAAGCCTGTAAACGCATGTACGCTACGCTTGTCAAGTATCACAAGCAGTTTAAAGAACAAGCCCGTACTCAAAAATCAGACGTGACCCTAAATCGTGAGATGGGTCTCTGCCGTTGCCACTTGCAGCTCGGCGTTCTTGTACCCTGGTGTATCCCTGAGGTGGAGCAACGAACGAGTGGCGGGCGCTCTTGTATCTCTTCCGATGGAGCCCTTACTTTCGGTGTTCCAAATACTCAAATATAAAACGAAATGTGTGTAACGTGACCTGTGGTATGAGTTCATCGCTGCCGCCCCTTTTGTCTACATATTCTTCTCGCCTCGGCGGGCGATCTCATGTTTAACGCAATAAAACCCACGATACAGAAGCCGCAGTCGCTGATGGAGTTCTCTACACCCTCAACACATTTCACACCCTTACAGAAATGCAAATGGTGCTCAGTTGTCAGGTGGGCTAACATCCCCACTTTTAGAGGGCAATAAAGAACCACTGGTGGGAACAAATAACGCTTTGATTTTGTTCACCTAAAATTTCTACACCCCGGCTTCGGCGGCTGCATTTTTGATGACGGCGAAAATGCTGTAGGCCCGTGTGCTCAGGTTTGGGTGCACGTTAAAGAATCCCCGGCGATCGAAATTTCCGGAGCCCTCCACTAGGACGTCTCTCATGATCATATGGTGGTTTTGGGACCATAAACCCCATATATGTATCAATCACCTAAGCTTTATGTTAGCTGTCACGGTCGACACGAAAAGTACACTAGGTTTACCTGCCAAATGAGTTCCCATACCAAATATTTCTGTATACACCAAGTAGTTAGAATTATTACACAATTTCAAACCACGCTTTATTTCACTGTGTGCCTAACTACAGCTCACTCTCACGAGCAAGAATATTTTCATGGCCGTAGAATTAATTCATTCGAGTAGGATAGTAAACCGGAAGCTCATCGACCTTCGTGCCATTTCTTCACTTTATTCTCAATCAATATTTCCCCACTCATGGGACAAAGTAACCATAATAAAGATGTACAATTTTTCCCGTGTATTACTCAGAAAAACTGCTCATATGCTTTTAAGCTTGATCAACACTAATGAGGTTTAAGAGGTCAAACATCCTGATGCAGGAAGCTTTTACGTTCTAAGTGATATCTTTTAAATATTATTCCGATATTTCGTGTGCCAGGGCGATTTTGCGCGTCACATGAGCAATTCCTTTTAATGATTGGTCTGAAACTGAGGACAATTAATTTGAAACACAATATCTCTAAATACTGGACAGCGGTGAAAGGCAGAAGCGGCCCGTTTAAATTTATGATAATTTTTCCCGCCAGTATGGTGAGGCTATGCGACACTACTGCCATCTCTTGTGCTTCCCAGCAAACAAAACTTGCTGCTGCGTTAGCTCTGCCACCTAGGGACTATGTTCACAACTTTTGAAGCAGTGGCGGCTAATTTGAAATTTGTACTACAGCTCCCGATGTGCAGTTAACGGTGATCTATAGTCGCTGTAAATTGCACAAATTACGGTCGTCCAACCAACGTCGTCTTTATAATTAGGCACAACACTGCGTTGTCAGTATCCCGGCGGATGCATTAAAAAGAGAGAATTGCAAGAACGGGCAGCACCGTGATCCAGTCGCGTTACACATTCCGAAATGAGCGCGACCATCTGCACCGCACTTCATTATCGCCCGTTTATTTACTGATTTATTATTTTTCTTTTAAACAGCTTTCGGAGCAAAGTCTCTCAACCAACGACGTCCCTACACGGTACATCGAGAGAGCGCACTTCACATGTATTCGAAAAGTCAGATTCTGTAGTACAGATGATCTCACTTCTTCCGAGGTTGTACTAGCGCCTTACCTTGTCCTAGCACCTTAAAAGTCTCCTAGACACTTTTAAGGGGCTAGGACAAGGGCTAAGGTTTACTCATGAGCTGCCCACTGAATTTTCGGACATTCCTTTCACGATTAACGAAGATCATGTCTGTCGGATATGTCACCCTCGTGTGCAGAAAAAACTTTCGCAATTTCATTCAGCGCATTTGAAGAATGTGAAGAGAGCAATAGAAACTGATTGTTAGCAGATGGCTCTAAATATGTCCTGCTCACGTTCAGTTAAATAGGCTTTGAACTTCAGGTTTCTGGACTTGTTTTCGCGGGTTTCCCTACATTGCCTTCAGGACCTGTGTGTGAGATTTTAATGAAGACAGTTCGGCGTGATGTCAGTGGTGTTTCTCCAGTTAATCATAAGAATAAGCATCCCGTCGGTATTTCCTACGTTCACAAGGTATCTCAATCTTTAAAGAATGTGGCTTCGAGGTATAATGTTCCGGTAGTGTTTTTGACTCCGAAAATGAGTGTCGTCCGTTTAGAGTCCTTGATGTGATAAAGAACACACGAAAAAAACATGTTTTATGAAACGCTCAACTAGTGTTGTTCGGAAGATTTCCTCGTGTTGCGGCCGGATATACATCAGCCAGACTGGCCGGTGTATCGATGACCGACGAGCAGGGCCCCCTTTTTTATGAGGAATGTGACCTCACCTCAGTTGCCACATCACTGGAAGGCATGCACGTGTAAATCACTGTTGGGCAATACGTACCTTTTGCGGAAGGGAAAAGACAAGGTGGCACGGGAATCGGCTGATGCTATGTACATACAGAAAGCTGGCGACCTTTGTGTCAGCGTTCCTTCTGTTAATCTTTGTCAAAATGACTATAGTTTTTAGGATGATAGGTTTTCATCAAGCGGTGTTCCGAGAAGTTGTTATTTTTTTTTGTGGTGTAGTGCACATGATTGAGGGTTATTAAGCCAAGCTTTCGGAAGAATAAAATTTAGTGGCGAGTGTGTGCTTTTACGCGCCTTAAATGCTTTCTTTGCTTCTTTCTAAGCATTCTCGCCATCTATTCAAGTTCAGCTATGCACCAAACGTTATTATCCTATAGAGAGGCCTAGTACAGAGGATATTATAGAGATATCTTGTATAGAGGACCTCACAGTGTTATTAGGGCACCTAACTTTGTTCTTTTTTCGGGTATATGCAGGCTACTTACCGCACGTGTAAACGACCTTGAGGAAGAGCCGGGAGTCCTTGTGGCAGCTTGGATTTCCGAAGGTGCCCATGTCAGCTGCCACGGTGCATTTTCGCCGCCCGTGGCACGTCGTGAGCACCGTCTCAGTTGCGTAGCTCACCTGACAATCTGCAAGTGTTTGGACGAGAACTTTGATTAGACGAGCGCCATAAGACTGACCACGGAGACTGCAAACAGAATCGAAGCAAATTTTGCGAAAGTACGCTATAGTTTAGACGGCAAGTTCACAAAGTCAATAGGCTGAAAAATCCGAATTTTCAAAGTTTGCAGTAGAAATAAATAAATCAACCAATTAATAAACAAAGCAGGGCTACAGAGACATGTTCTTCAACAACAAGGCCAATACAGTCTCAGTACAAATACGCTGCTCTTTTACCCGTGTAAGTTTCTTTCTGAGTGCACTTATTTTATTCTGGACTACTAAGAAATAAATTTGATAATTTTCTCAGTAGCTGTGCTTTTGCAACGCTCCCAACCGACTAGATAACAAACCTCCATCGGAGGAAAGAATTTTGAATCGTCGTCCAGGATGCAACATGACAGAATAAGGCCCTACAAGCGCAACTGCACTTTTTGCGAGCGGCCAGTCTTTCTGAACGATTGTAGCTAGAACAATCTTCCTGTACATGCGCGCACGCGCGTGTACAGGAAGATTGTTGTTGTTGTTGTTGTTGTGTGTGTGTGTGTGTGTGTGTGTGTGTGTGTGTGTGTGTGTGTGTGTGTGTGTGTGTGTGTGTGTGTTTTCTTCTGCGTGCACATACAATTTTCCTCCCTCTATCCACACACCTTATTTCTCGCCCCATTTCACCTTCCCCCAGCGCATGGTAGCAAACTGGTATGCTAATATCTAGTTAACCTGCCAGCATTCGTCTTCATCTGTATCTCCATCTCTTTGATAATGTAGCATGAAATGGAAACTTGCGAAGCAAGGGCAACGGGGAGAGAAGAAGCTTCAGAAATATAGAAAAAACTACTTCATTGGTTGGACCTAACTCCATCGTAATTAGAGGGGATAGTCCGCCAAGAAAATAATTAGTGGGTGACTTGCAGAAGGGAGAGAAGTACACCACAACTCTAACCCTAGCCGGTTTAGAGTAAGAGTTTCCAGTGATCGCTTTTAACGAAATGGAAATCAAACATACACGTATGTAAACCATAATGGTAGCCGTGACTGTTCTTCATGGTATAGTAATTATTAACAAGAAAAACTATAACATAGGAAAAAACGTCACCTTGAAGATTTATGTAGAGCACAGTTAACAAAAAGGATTTAATTAGGTCTGCATATTCTAGTATTTAGCAACACAGAACAGAGCGAAAACTTAATACGATAGTTATTATAGAGTAAGGTGCCGCAAGCAGCATTTTACTATACATAAACAACGAAAGGTCGTTCAATTGTTCGACACAACCTACTGAAGCAGACAGTCAATGAGGCAAAAGAAAACCGAAGGGGCATTACCTGTTATATTTAACTGATATTTAGTAATTGTGCGACAGTTACACTCAAAGCCAAAATATTGCTTTTGATGCGTTACTTGGCTTCATTGTCTGTTGCGTTCATAAGGTTACGCAAAAATGCGTATACGAGCTCTCGATGTGGTACAAGATGTGGGGGTGCTGACAGCCCCTGTAAAGTTGTTTGCGGCGCGTGGCGCGCGTGTCTCGCACAAAGACCGCATTTCGGGGGTGACAACTATTGAGCGATAGGTGGCGTTGTGTTCGCGAGCGGCGATCACCACTATCATCATCATAGTTGGTAGAGCGGTAGCCCCGGCGGTAACCCCAGGCGGAAGGCAAGCCTTGGTGCCGGGTGAGAGAGTTGAGCAAGTCTCTTTTGGCGTGGAAGGTGGCGCGAACGGTTTCGTGCAGCGGTAGGTCTGCCGTGAACGGCATTACGGGATGTCTGCGGTGGGCCCACGTGGTGAGTCAGGCGTTAGCGACGTCGCCTTGTTTGTCATGTTGTTGAGTGTTGTTTACTATTGTGTAAGGATGTCTTAGCGTGTTGATCACGATTGGTGTTATGATAATTCGGCTGACCATATCGCCGGTCGAAAGTAGCTCAATAAATGTGTGTCTGTTGGCTGGGTTAGTGCCCACCATGTCGACTCAGTCCATTTACTCCAAGGGCGTGGCGTTCGCTCGCCAATTGGAGACCCCACAAAGATCAACAGGTGAGGATATGTGGATGGTACAATGACGTCTTACACAAATATACAGCACGGGAAAAGGGGCTTTATGACATGAAATCCGACAGTAATGTGTATGAAACACGCGTTCATTTTGTTAGGTCATCCCTTTCCCTCACTCAGGGAGAATCGAGTCTGAAAGAGCGTGACCCACCGGACAGCTTGACGTCCTGTCTCTGCGGACATTCCGGCACGCCCTTTTCGGTGCCGCCGAAATTGGCCGAGTAGATTACGATGCGCAGATTCTTGTGGCAGCGTAGGTTGAGGACGTCGTTCTCGCATACTATCCGGTTCGAAAACGTGGCTGCAAGAAAGCGAAAGTTTCGTTGTCAGCACTCAAAAGACAATGCACTGGAAGACCACGGGCACATAACCTTTAATGATGCTGTTCACATCCAGTGAAAACAACGTAGTGGTACTTTATGGATAAGCACGCGTAACCCTGATAATTAAGGCCAAGGACGTGGGTTCAACTGCCGCCCTTCATTGGGAGGGAAATGCAAAGTCATCTATGTGCTTGGTTCACTTGTTCTGTCATGTCCACCATCTCAATGTGAATCAACGCCTACGTAGGTAGGCCCTACTTCAAGCAAGAATGAATGCAAAGAGTAGCGTGCATACCTATCGCACACTTACAATGATCTTGAAACTGAGCTTTAATTCAGCTCACCAGGTGTTATAATTTTCATCGTCCCCCTACTCCTGATAGCCAATAATTTCTTCAGCATTAGTCCAGCCAGTGTCAGACATCGTACGGCACGATTAACGTCACACAAAACTAATCAAACACTCCTCGAATATGAGGTACGTTTTCGTTAGGAAGTCTAGCCTAATACGTGTCATGAGATGATGTCACGATACACGGTGACACGATGTTTAAATGGTTTATTGCTTAAGATCTTGTTCGAGGACCTAGATTAGGAGTATTTGCAATGGCTCCATTCCATGGGCGATCACAAAGATGAATCCAACCTGCATTAGGTGCACAGATATACACACAAATATACACGCGAAGGAATTATAAAACAAGCCACAGTAACGAAATTCTTTCCAACCAAGGTTCACTTCTTAACAACTTTACTTCGTCGAATGTAAGGTCGTAAATAAGTGATTCAGTTATTCAGAAAGCAGTTATTTCTATATTTCACCTCTGCAGCTGTATTGTCCCTACTGGAATGATATGCCTTAAGTTAATCCAATCTTTCTCCTCATACCGGCTGCACCAGAAAACGCAACAATTTATTGCTCTACATCGCTACGACTTTCAATTGATGAATAATTGCTTTGCTAATATTGTGTGTTTGCTAAGGAAGATAATGTTTTCAAACAACATCAAGGTATGAGTGTAGACACACATACAACGCATATACACAAATCTAATCGAATACGTTATTTTTATACGCAAAATCAGAACGAATACTCTGAGTCAGGCCCATAGTCAGGAATTTTTTTTCTGTAAGAAGGGAAGGGGGGGGGGGGGGCACCTGTTGGAGGCTTTGAAAATTTATTTTTTATTATTGTCCTCGGTAAAACACACACTACAATTGTGATTTTAGGGTGAAAGAGAGTGGTCCCCCAACTCCCCTTTCTCGCCTGCCTACGAGCCTGCCCTTAGTACATACCTTACATTAAGCCCGTATATACTGTAGCATTGATAGAACGTGAAGGCTTTGCTTTTAGTTCAGTTTCACCAATAATGATTTATCTAGCGAAGCATTCGAGGCCTGCGTGCCTGGCACTTTAACATGTTCCCAATGAAGTCATGCGGAAATTCTGTCAGCTTCGCCTATCTCTCGGCTAATGCATCAGATAAATATCGCGCACTGTTTTAATAAACTTAAACAACACTACGAAAGTAGAGCAAAACAGAATTTAAAAAACAGCACATTCCTGGAACTCCTGCACCGACAGTTTCGAAAGGTAACAAAAATGGCGTTTATATTATCCGCGACGTACGATGTATATATCTGCAATTAAAACAGAAAACAGCATAAAAACAAAAACGCCAGGCATACGCGGAAGGCGCGGAACAGTCACAGCGAAAGCAAGAACAGCGGCCTTTCAGGGCATTTTCAAAACACTCATTGGGCAACTACTGCAAGCACACATGCTTGATGCCCACGGCATTATAATAAATTTTTTGGGGGTGGTAGGCCGGCATTTGCGATGTTATTTTTCGTCGTTCTTCTGAGAAGCGTGGTATGCGCTAAACACTTGCAAGGAATTTCGTGCCATTTGTGCATGCACTCGCTTCCGACGATGACGATTTATGCTTGAAGTTGGTATGAGCCATAGTTAATAGATGAACAAAGACAAGCTTTTGTAATGGGTTTGAGCATTGGACGACCCACATGATACGTTATTCGCATTGTGCGACGACCGCGGTTGTTCTTTCGCTGTTTTAAAACGCTTCATAAGTCGAATTAACGTGATTGCTTTCCCGACATCAAGCCTGCCTAAGGCAAGTTTGCCAACAAGTCCCAAGCACCGGCGTGGCTCAGTGGTAGAATATTGGGCTAGCACCCAGTGGACCTGTGTTCGAGCCCTACTGTGTCAGTGGAGCTAAATTTTTTTAGGGGCGAAGCTCTTTAAAGCGGCGCCCGTTCGTCCCTCGTAGTAGCGCGTAACATGTCTTACGTTTTGACCTGCAAGGTCGTGCCGGTGGGAGATTTCTCCTGTACGTTGTTAAACAGTAAAAAGTTTGCAGCGTGCGCGTTAACTAAAAGCCGAATTCCCATGTATCTCATTCCCTTTTAGCAGCCATTGCCATGTACATTGAGCACTATCTGACAAGAAAGGGTTGCTACGTTATACTCGCTGGGCGTAACCTCCTTGGTTTTAGAAAGGTTTAGCGAGCATTGGGCCGCAGTGCCATGAATATAGTGAACTAGAATGTACCATGACCCCGAGATCGTTAAAGGTGGGAAGTAGAAACGAAGCGCAAGCCGTAAGAAAGTGTGCGTGTGCCATTAGCAGCCATTGGCATGTACATTGAGCATTATCTGACAAGAAATGGTTGCTACATTATACTCACTGGGCGTAACCTCATTGGTTTATGGAAAGGTTTAGCGAGCGTTGGGCCGCAATGCCATTAATACAGTGAACTAGTATATACCATGAATTCGAGGTGGTTAAGTGTGGGAAGTAAATACGAAGCGCAAGCCGTAAGAAAGTGTGCGTGTGCCACCTCTCGTTTAGCCCTTCGAATGTCCGCTGAATGGCAGTGCTTCTATATGCGGAATATACGATGAAAATTTGCGAGATGGTGGCACACTTAGAGTGTTGACTAGATTGACGAACGGACACACAGACTGATGCATGGACGGACGCATTGATGGCTGCATGGTCGGATGGACGAACGCACGAACGGACGCATGGACGAATGCAGAAACGGACGCACGGATGGACGTGCGGACGCATGAACAGACGCACGTGCGGACGGGCGGATGGACGCATGGACGGACGGAAGCTTTGCACCACTCTCCATCATTCACCTCGTGGATATGCTGCCATTTTTTTTTCTCATTTCGTGCGATGTGGCTACGGACACCAGTGGTGGCAGCGGACAACTGCGCGTGACCGGACTTGTGATCTCATAACAGCTTTCGCTGTAATAATAAGCAAAATACCACTCAGGCAAAGAGGGAGCCATTTAATGTATCTCAAGAAGTACTCGAGACAAGTTCATCCGCGAAAATGAAATATGTGCTCAAACTGCAAAATGGCAAAAAATGGCCATAAAAACAAAACAAAAACGCTGAAAAATTTTCGCTTCTACTTAAGATTTACCGTACCACTTTCGGCACGCAAGCCTCTCTCGAACGGCAGCAGTGTTTGTAATTAAAGCGACGCACCGTATCATTTACCACGTGCCTTGAATGAAACAGAAAGAAAAAACCAATTATATATCACATCCTTCTTTCTAGGGTGGACTAGCATGTTTATATTTTTTTTTACTGTCTTGCACCCAGGGGCTTATTTAGCTGTAAACGAACAACAGCATCCCACCTGTATTCTTACCACTTTATAAATATGTAAAGAAACAAGAACAAAGGCGACTCAAGCATGTTTCAATAAACAAGGAGGGTAGCAATGAACAGCAACAGAAGAATACGTAGGCTTGGGCAAGTTAATATGACGTACACCGCAAATTTTTGAAAATATCAAAACCATAGTACAGATTGAAGTAGTCGAGTACTACCTTATGCGCACGTTCAAGAAATTAATTTTAGCACCTCATTACATGAAGAAATCATGTCATTATACTAAGCAACCACACTCTGTTTGCCTCAGTTAATGAAACTGGTCTACAGTGATTTAGAAATGCGCGATTTTGAACAGGTCATTACAATTCATGGGACTACTGGTGAAGTCGTTTTTCTACAAAACAATGAACTATATGTACACTAAAACGGCAAAATGTTAATCGCCATAAACATATACAGGGACTATACAAAATAAAATTACCTATAGAATGTACACACAATGGAAAGTATTTTGTCAGATATTTTTCATGTGATGCAGTGTGAAACATATTGCATGAAAAGAGTCGCTCTAGCGCAACAATCACCAATGAGGTCTACCGGGCTAGCACAACCTGTGGCAGCAGCTTCACTACCACCATATTTACAACAGCAACAACATCTATGCAACTACTACTACTACTACTACTACTACTACTACTACTACTACTACTACTACTACTACTACTACTACTACTACTACTAATAATAATAATAATAATAATAATAATAATAATAATAATAATAATAATAATAATAATAATATAACATTATAATGGATGATGACGATGATGATGATGATGATGATGATGAATTGAAGCAGCTAGCACTAAGTCACACAAGGCTGGGTCACACCAGATCTGGTTACAGAAGTAGAAGAGGAAGAAAAGAATGAAATAAGTAGATATACCTGAATATGTCACGTGCCGGTTCCCCAAGATAATAGTTTATGCCACACGGCAAGCTATACTTGTTATACTGAACTATACACGAATATTCTCACATTCTTTTTTCTTTCTACCTTCTTTTTTGTGCATATTATGATAACTATGTTTACCTCTTTGTTTCATTCCGTCTTTCTGGCTTGTTCTTTATGTATTCTCTTTCTCTTGCTCTTTCTATGCCTTTGTTTCTCTTACCCCCCACTGCGAGGTTGGTGTCTTGCCTTCCATATTTTTATCTATTTCTTCCGTTTGCTATGTATTCATATATATAATGTTCCTACAGTTGGCATCATCGCCTTCTATCTTTTCGCTGTTCATTTGTTGCTTTCTAGTTCTTTCTTTTTCTCTATATTGCATTCTCAGCATTTCTGTCTTTTTCTCTATTTTTTCCGTTGTTTCTGTTTTTATATATTTCTTTTTTACATCAATCTCTCTCTTTGTGTAGCCGGCCTTTAGACTTCTATCTTATTCTTTTTAACTACCTTTTTTTTCCTATTTCCCCGATTCTGTTTCTTAATATCACTATCTCTTTCTCTTTGTACTCGTTCGTCAATGTTCATTTCCCTCATTCTAACCATCACTCTTCTCCTCCTCACACTCACTTATCTATGGTACAGTATGGTACGATAGACATGGATTTTAAATCACGACGGTGCGCATGGACTGGGGCTGAGTACATTGATATATAAGTGCTATTTTTTTAAGTAAAACCTTCAGTTTATAGTAGCACTGGTGTTGTACTTTTCTTTTTTTTTTGTGCGTGTGTCAGTGTGCGCTCAAAATAAGCTACGGTGCACTCCTACCTACCAGCTCGTCTTTCAATATTACTTCAGTGCTTTCATTGCGTGCGCACGTACTTGACCAGGCAGAAAACTGTGAGAGTTTACTCCACGTCCTCGCTCTTTGCCCTCTCCCACAAGCTGTAAAGCAAGTTCACTCACTCGGTCGACACTTGTACGCGACCTCGGCGTACTTGTGAACGCCGGGACACGGGTCCACCATGAACGACTTGGCGTCCGTCTTGACTGTGCACTCTTCTTTCTCCCGACACGCAGCCTCTACCACCTGCGACCGTGTTTTGGCAAAGCAGAATGAATCGGTGACGCAGCATTGTCTTACCACATTATCGCTACAGCATTCATCGCATCAGCCTACGAGTCCGTGTTTCGATGTGCTCTTAGGATGGTGATGGGCTCGTTTTTCCGTGTTTTGACACAATATTAATGAGATCTATCAGACTATAATGCCAAGGAAAGTATAGGGAAACTTATTAAAACCAATGTAATGTAAATAAGAAGAAAGAAAAGTGGCTGGAAAAATAACTTGCCGTGAGCTGGTGTGTATGTATATATATATATATATATATATATATATATATATATATATATATATATATGTATATATATATATATATATGGTGGGGTGATATTCAATGGATCCAGTGGAAAATGCAGTATAAAAAGAGGTCGACAAACGTGCGAAAAAACACTAGTTTTACTAACGTTTCGGCAGGTGGGCCTGCCTTCGTCGGAGCGAATGGCCATTCACTCCGACGAAGGCAGGCCCACCTGCCGAAACGTTAGTAAAACTAGTGTTTTTTTCGCACGTTTGTCGACCTCTTTTTATACTGTATATATATATATATACCGATTAGTCTTTTGAGAAACAGAACAGCTAGAAATCTAACCCGTGGCCAACTCGGGCTAACCCGGTTCGCCACACGAACGCAAGATGTCCGGTGAGTTGCAGTATTGAACAAACAATACCGAGAACAAGTTTTTTGGGTTGTGGTCGCTTACAGATGAACTTGCATGGGCGTTACCATCTGGGATGACAAGCAATACGCAATAAGAAAGAGATGGAGAATTATACATTTGTAAAAAATAACGTATTCTGAATGCAATGCGGAATGGTAACAGTCAGTGATCGATGTTACATTTACCAACAAAGTGTGTTAAGCTATCACACCCAACCTTTTTCTGCTATAATGAATGATACACAAGTACGTTTTGCCTTTTCTTATTGACATAACAATACATGAGTAATGATTGTCGGCTTACAATCAAGAGTTGCTCGTTTCCGTTTTCGTTAAAAGATAGTGTGAAATAATTCGTTTTGTGTGAGTAAAATAAAATGACCACGCCGGTAAAAACTTATTGTCAAGTATGATTAACGAATTTAATGCTGGGATGGTAATGACAGCACAATTTTTTTCATAAACAGATATCATAACGTGCATTTTCAACAACAAAACTCCGCTTGTATACTGCTAGTGTGGAACTAAAAAAATTGTATTTCAACTGGAGCGGGACCAAGCCCCAAGAATAAACGATGACCACCTAATGGAAACGTGGGAGGCCAAACTCGTCCTCGAGAACCTGGAATACCAGTGACAACTCGTCGCCAGGGCCAAGAGGGCAGTCGAAGCCAGAGGGTTCCTGGACGAGGGAACCCTCACACCTTTGGGTGACAACGGGCCTCACTCGAAACACTGTTTCTAAATAAATGTTTATTTCTCTCTCTCTCTTTGGCGTTTGCATAGATTATTCCGCATGTGCCCACCACAGGTTATGCGGAACGTTCTATTTATATTTATGGCCACCTAAATTTCACGACAATTCAAATCACCTTAGAAAACTCTGTTAAAACAATACAAAACGATTTAGAACAAGAGGACATACCAGAAGCACTCTGCTCATTTTCCTAAATAGTGTGTATTTCCCGTTCACGGACACAAGCAAGCACATGCACACGCCGTATATATTACATATCAGCCTGGGGCCTTAATGTATGCGTAAATATGCAAACCTCAATTAATACATTTGACAAAATTACACGAGAGTCACACTTACAATGTGTATCACGCACAAAGAAGGTTTGGTACCCAAACAATTATTACCTGATGAAATATTATTTGCTCCCATTGATGAATGGCACATATGTTTCACATAGGTCAACTAGCCAGTTGATATGCGCGCTTTTATTTGGCATGTGTAATTTCGGTCCCGGCTTCAGCCGCCTCAGCTTAGTCTTGGCCGCAAGAACGGTTGTTATGCAGGCAAGACAGTTTTACAAATGAAATAATTTAGTGAGGTTGTTTCTTATAAATACACTAGAGAGAACGGGTGCCAGTATTCACGGGCGACGCAATGCATTACGCTTAAACCAGCATTGCAATGATGGGCAGTCAACGAGTTCGACAGAACTTCGTTCTTTGGCTCCGCGTCGCCAGTAGCCGCTCTGCCGCAAGACCAAGTTCAGCAAATGTTCGGCAGTTCCACCACGCCACGTTAACGTTTTAGGCTCCTCTATTCAAACCAACTCAAGAAGTTCACAATGATTCATTTTTTTCTTTCTCGAAAACAAAAAAAAAACGCCAAAACACAACAATAGGCGAAACAACACGTGCTTTCGAATCCACAAGCATAAAGATTGGGCAAATCCGTGCACTTGTATTTAATACCATGGTTCCTGAATAATCGTGGCACCACAGTTTCCCCAAGTTAATTTCTAAAAACTTTATGGTGAGGCCGTCTCGACGACGTCAACAAAAAACGAGTTTGCGGCACATGCGCGACTGCAGTTCATCCTATCCGACAAGAGTAAATGCAATTACTAAGGGTGCAGGTTCTTCAAGACGGACTGTTCAAGGTGGACCGTGCGCCTTCTTCTGTAATGTGATGTATAATTCTGTAGATACATAAGGAAAGTGAGAAAACTAGTTCATTTTTTAGAATGCTCTGAGAAATGAGGCCCACAAGCATTCTGAGCACGCACGTGCATATCTATTATACAAAAAAAGTAACTAAACAGTACAAAGGGCCATGAGCAGACGCCGAAGAAGTTGAGATCGAAGCAAATACAGGATCTAATCCGAATCCGCGGTCCCACTAGCGAAGGATGTTTTCGAATAATTTCAATAGCTCAATTCTAGAACTAATACTTTCAAAGACAAACAGCGCGAAGTGCGGTATGCGAGGAAGTTTGGTAAGAGACGTTCTTTTGTTCCTCGCCTAGTTTAGGTTCAATTAGGGCTCACGCTAACCAGACGAACTGACACTTTTTGTCTCACATTTTCGTTCTAGTCGGTTCCTCGCCGCCTTTGGCTCACTTAGGCGACGTCGGCCATGCTAGCACTTTATAGAGGACGGAGTATTTGGAGAGCGCGAACACGGGAAAAAGAAGATCCACACGCTCAATTGAACAACGCGACCGAAATCTGACAGGTCCTCATGTTAACGGTCTCGACGTGTGTCAGGTTGTGTCTATGCGTCCTTTAACACGCAGCACAGTCGCACCCTTTCTTACAATTCGCTAGATCTCTGCATAACAGTGTGAGTGCTGTCTAAATTGAAGTCCAGTTTACCTTAGATCAAAAGAAGGCTGAACTATAATTAGTACGTATTCGTGCCAAAGCAAGGGGCGCCAGAATGCGGATTCAAGAGAGAAGTCAGGCCAAGGCATACGCTGACTTAACATTCATCTCGCACATTATGTTGGCACATACAGTTGCAACCTTTTTTCTCCCCTTCATCCCTTCCCCATTGCAGGGTAGCAAACCGGATGTGCGTCTGGTTAACCTCCCTGCCTTTCCTTGCATCTTTATCTCTCTCTCTCTCTCTCTCTCTACAGGTTAGTCATTTGTTTTCTTGTGTCCTAGTCACTGTTTGCCTACAGCACCCGCGTTCATGCCCACAGTGCATTAAAAACATTGTCACGTATACAGACAAACGGACGTTACATCATTCTCGCTGTTGCAAGGTAAAGGGTGTTCCTCCTTCACAAAGTAGTTCACAGTTCACTCACCCTCAGTGCCTCCTTAGCGATGCACTCGACGCTGCCGTTGTATTCTTGCGCCGGTTTCGCGCTCGCAGCGCCCCCTTCATCGTGTGTTGGCGGCGGGCACAACATGTGGTAGGGCACGGAGCGTCCGTACTGGGCCACGGAAATGGATATGCTCGTATTGCGAAAGCAGCGCAGTTGCAGCTCCTGGCCGTCGCACGCGAACTTCTGGAACGTCTTCAGAGTGCCCGAGAGAAGCGCTGCACGAAGGAAAAAAAAGCAGGAAAGGAAATAAAGCAGGAGTCGGAATCTACCTCACCTTCAAGTACTAAAGACTCAATAGAGCAGATACATTTGCTGCATCATACGAGTGTACTTCTGTGTTGAAGTAGATCGACCACGTAATATGAAGCACGTGTTTGGGATTGAGGATATAATAAGGCCCATATGCAGGGAAAGCCCCGCAAATGCTTGTACTTGTAGGTCATGGACTCTCCGAGAGGCTTGACTTGGTTACTTTATATATATGCAATACACCCTGCGAGCAATAGTTATAATCAGAACCAGTTACTTTTGAAGCGAGTATAAATATGTATAAAAATCTAGATCAACGCGAACACCTTTACATTTGCACACGCGTCACATTTATTTGTAGGGAGGCTGCGCTGCGGAATAATTTCTGAAATGCCAATTTAGGAAAAATTCAGTGTGAGATTTCTATCTTCTCTTGGTCTTTGATAGCATATATTTTCTTAGCTTATCATCATTCCCCGAAGAGAAAAAAAAATACAAAGATGGCACACATTGCTGGCACGCCTTAGTGCAAACTCGGCATCAGGGCCAGATCAAACATCAAACTTCATTTTAAAGAACTGTGCCCTTTCAATCAGCCCATTTCTTACAGCTGTATTCAGACATTCTTCATTGCAGGGTGAATTACCTGATGACTGGAAACGAGCAAATGTTATTCCTATTTTCAAGAGTGGTGACAAGTCAAGTACTTGCAACTATCGGCCCATTTCGTCAACGTGTGTGTCCTGTAAGACACTTGAGCATATTATATACTCGAACTTGGCAAAGCATCTTCAGACTAACAATTTTTTCTTTCCAACACAGCACGGTTTCCGGAAAGGATTTTCCTGCGATACACAACTCGTAGAATTTACACATGACATCGTCGCAACGTTAAATTCCGGTAGCCAAATTGATTGCTTATTTTTATACTTTATAGCAAGGATTTGGACACTGTTACACACTCGCTCCTTTTACTGAAATTATCGTGTCTCAATATATCTGCTAACACACTGGCATGGCTACAAGCTTATCTCTCATGCAGGAAACAATGCACCATCATCGATAGCGCGTCGTCGTCACATGTAGACGTCATTTCAGGAGTGATGCAAGGCACCGTCCTTGGGCCGCTTTTCTTTTTGATTTATATCAATCATCTTGCTGAATGCGTGGGCAGTCAAGTGAGGTTGTACGCAGATGACTGCTGCATATATCGTGAAATTAAGTGCACTCAAGATTCCGAACAACTGCAGAAACAGCTTGACTCAGTAATAGCATGGTGCAGTACGTGGAAAATGCAGCTTAACGTGTCAAAGTGCTGTGTCGTTAGGTTTACCAAGAAAAAGCAGCCTTTTATCACAAATTACTTCTTGGAAAGGATACCATTAATTATGGTAAATGAATACAAGTATCTTGGCGTTGTGATCAACAGCACACTATCGTGGAATGATCATGTTCACATGGTATCAGTTAAAGCTAGTCGCGTGCTGAACTTCCTACGCCGCAATTTCAGAACCGCCCTCTCTGTTCTTAAACAAGTTCTTTACGTGTCAAATGTACGCCCGATTTTAGAATATGCTTGCACTGCCTGGGACCCGGCCACAAAGTTAAATATTGATGCATTGGAGCGCATTCAGAAACGTGCCGCCCGTTTTGTGACGGGTGATTACGACTTCACCGGAAGGTCTAGGGAAATTGTTAGTTCACTTGGTTGGCCGTTACTCTCCTCAAGGCGTAAACTTATCAGACTATGTCTTTTGTATAATCAAATAAACGACAAAAACTGGGATTGATGAAAACAAATACATCTTATCACGACGGAACCATCCTTTGAAAGTGTGTGAATATATGTGCCGAACATCAACGTATGCAAATACGTTTTTTTCCTCAAACTATTCACGAATGGAACAGTCTTCCAAAAAGACATTGTGCCCACCCCTTCCACAGCGTTTCCTTTCCTTTTAAATGAGTGTGTGGTGACACAATCATATTGTATGCTGTGATTTAGGTATTTTTGATTTGTTTTTATTTTTTGAGTGCCGTGCAATTCAACTTGTCCCCACTGATTTAAATGTACTTTGAATTTTTAACCCCCCCCCCCCCTACAACATTTCTCCCCAGAAGGCACTGTAGGTATAAGTATAAATAAATAAACAACACACCTTCTGTTCATTCTATAAAGGAAAAAATCATTTTGACCTATCAATATTGAAAGTGTACTTGGAAGCAAAAAAAAAAACCTGTAACACGATGATAGATCTCAGTTCACTTTGAGAGTTCCGAACCCGCACGCTCGGCATGGTTGTTTAGACGATGACGAAAAAAAGAACTGTTGCAACATACTTGCCCAAAACACCCTGTCAGCTACAGTTTAGCAGGGCTTTTACATCTCGTTCAATTAACCGCGAGTTCTCTGCGGGCGTGTTCGCTTCTCTCGCCAAAACTTCCTTATGCTCGGGAGATCTCGCAACGGATATGCGCTACAAACGAACAACGTGTAGCATGCAAGCCGTTCCATAATCGCAAGCTCCTTGCCTGCTCACATGTTTGCCTGACAAACATTGAGACTTCCGCGAGGCAGACCGGTGGAAATGGGAAGGTGGGGACGAAAAAGGATGAGGAAATGGAACGAAAACACGGGGAACAGCATCTGCCCTTCCATCAAGGCCAGGGTGCGCATGAGCGGCGGCTAGCGGGCATGATCGAGCATGTGTATTCCCCGCGATGCCAGAGCCGTGGCCCCTCAATCCGACGCACGCCTGCCCCGTTCCGTCTCTCGGCGGGACCTTACGACGACGGCACGCGCGTATGTTCTTGTGTGTATGCTTTTGCGTCTTCGCCGGCTGGCGGCAAGGAAAAAAAAAAACTCGTAAAGCTGCATGTGTTAAAATCCCGGGGAAGTTCAACAGAAGGTAAGTAACGGAGCTGGGAAGCTAAGGGAACGCTATAGTTCAAGGTTTTCTATAGCGCAAACGTGCACCCGTGGCTCGAAACTGATGTCGAACCGCGGCTGCGGAGTCTGGTTTATCGCTCAAGCAGAAAGAGAGAAAGAGAGGGTGGTGTACCCGTATACACTATATTAAGCCACCTAGGAAGACTCCGGCGTAGTACGTACACAAGCAAGATAACTTAAGGGCGCAAGGCCGGCACTGGCCTTTAGGGGACGCGAATGTTTGGATGCTGCACCCGGAAAAAAAAATAATAAACGCGCTGCAAGGCAGGCCGATAGTGCGCGTGTATGCGTCGTGCATGAACCGCTCTCGCCGCTATTTACAAACTTTTACTACCACTCGCTTGAGCCAGGCAAAGATAAAAAAAACAAAATCTGGAAGAAAAAGTATCTGGGAGAGGCTAAAACACGTGTAAAGTGTTTCATGCGTCAACCGCGTGTGCCAAGATGCGAATGAAGTCCACGTGGGCTGCTGCTACAACGAGCTGCCAACTGGGCAGAACGTAAAAAATAAAATGTAGCATGTAGAATTGCTTTCTTAAGCTTTAAACTCGCAACCTTCCTTTTGCTAGAACTGTAACTCCTTGGATCTCGTTGTTCCGTAGCAAGGCGTGCGTCCGCATGTGACAAGATACTCCTAGATTCTTTTTTTTTCTTTTTTTTCGTAGTCGTGGTATATTTGCGTACTATTTGTATGAGTTACTATACGTAAATTTATCGTTCACGTACGTTCCCTTTTACTACTTCTTTTTTACGGTCGTAAAGGAAACACGTAAAAGAATGCTAAACAGGCTTCTACATAAATCAAACACCAGCGGCATCTCCACACACCTCGCCGCAACAAACCAGACCAACCGGGCGTAGCGTAACAGAAGCAAATGTCAGGTGTCTCATGTTGTACCAGTACAGAACACCCCCGGCACCGTACACCGCCTGCACAGTAGCGAGTGTGGCTAGATGCCGCCTCGGCGCTGACACCACTTAGGAAGAGCGCGCCGCGGAACACGTGACGGAGTCACGCCGTTTATGGCCGCAGCTGCGACCTGTCAGTGTTGAGTTGCGCGACCTGTCAACCCCACAGCGCGCCTTCTCTGAGTGAATGCCTCAATGCCTTTTACGGACTTTTTCGAGCGAGCCCTCGAGTTTGACGTACGCGCTTTTGGGCGAACACGAATAGTGTACTTTCTCGCGCCTTTTGTTCTGATTACTAGCTCTAATTAGTAGCCATAATTAGTCACCCTGAGTAGTACTAATGCCGGTCAAATGTATTTTTGAGACATCACCGCTAAAGGCGACCAAGAAACTCCTAGAGTTTCTTGGAGAAATCAATTCGAACAAGTGACTGTAACATCGACGTCTCGTACCACGCGAGCGTGATGGACATGTAACTGACTGCATGTTTTTCTGCGTCTGTCGTGTTATCTTTCTCTCTGTTTCCACCCTTTTCTCTACCTCTATCAATCTCCCTCTTCCCGCTCTCCCATGTAGGGTAGAAAACCAGCTTTCCTGGTCTGGTTAACCTCCCTGCATTTCCCTCTGTAACATTTCTTCTTCTGAGTAGCCCTCTGCCTTTTACTGCACGCTTAACCACTATAGAATAGTGGGTTTCGTAACCTAAACCCACAGTTCAAGCTTTCAGCTCGCTGCCATGAATATGACACCATGGCAGATTAACAAATTAATGCTCAGACGCAGCATAGGCACGGACGGCTTTTGCGCAGAGCCTCACTGGAGCGTCGTCACGAGGGTAAATACTGTGGAAGCGACTGCTGTATATTTCGGAAGCTGCTGATTTTTCTCGGAATACGGAATATCAGGCTGACTGTTATCACTGCAGGAAACAGAAGGAGGGTAACTGGTGCAGTCTTTAACGTGACATTCACATGGCAGCAGCAAGTTTTCAAAACAGTGAAAAAAAAGTAAAAAAAAAACAGATTTCGGGTATGGCGATAGAGTGCTGTCTTGAGTCACTGCAGAAAAAAAAAGGGGGTTCTTTTTGGCACCACATCTAATATTCTT